GCGGTTGTGTTCATGTGCTTCTACACAGTTAACAGAAAAAAGTAACTTAAAAGCTTGTATTTGTACGCTGATGCTATATTCACATTTATTAAATATTACAAACTAGATGCATTGTAGGTATCTATAGCGCTGCAAACATGGGGATCACACGAGTAAAAATTTTAATAAATAGTACTGACTTAACAATTGATTTGACTTCTGTAGTAGTTAATTTTCTAGTTTACAAGTGAGACAGTACAACGGTGTCTGCCATAATACAGGGTCCGATAGCACAGTAATTTGGTGTTCGCATTCGACTGCTATTAAAAACGTGTCACACGATGGCTGAAGATCCCTGCTCAGCGCTTTCCACTGCCCGTAGGATGCCCAAGTTACCGACCAGGAGCCAGGATCCCTGTTCCTCTCACTGAATTCATGTTACTGCCTGTGCTCAAGACCTGATGGCTACACGCTTTCTTGGGATGTGCTACGGACATGAGCTGATTTAAAAGGGCACTGTAGGTTATTGTAAAAAATAGCACCAGTTACAATTTAACAGCAAGTCTGAACTGTTACACTCCATTTATTCTAATGCATTCAAAAAGCTCTAAAAAATTAGGACTTAGCTGAAGGCCTAGGCAGAAGTCTCAATGACTTCTGTTTATGCCAGATGAGCACATACTCTCCCAGCGTGTCAGAAGTAAAGGCTTTTTTTCACTCCGCAGTTACGCTGAGGCTGAGAAGCCGCGTACGGCTCGCCTGCAGGGTGCCCAGAGGGAGAAAGTGGACTCTGGCTTCCAGTGCCTGTGCTCCAGCCCCGGAACAGCGCTGTCTTTCACCAACGTTAAGCGCCTAGTGTAGAAGCAGCAGACAGGTGGATGCTGGCAGCTTTTGTTAGTCCTTGCCTTGTTCTTGCATTTTTTCACCAACTTAGGACTGTTGGTGACAGGATACGGGCCGGAATGAACCTCAGGGCCAGCCACCAGCAGCTCTTCTATGCTCCTGTTTTTTGACAAACATGAAGCTTCACAGGTACATATTTTGCACTGAAAAATTACATACACACGTTGAGTTCACTGCAGTTTCATTCAATACAAAGACCACCTTCATGCTTTTGCAATGTCCTTTAAATCTCCACCTGCCTTTTAACAATTCTCAGCTGTGGAGATTTCCAGGAGAAACAAATTCACTTTATTTCTTTTGCTCACCTGCCCGGCCCACGCATTTCAAACAGCATCAGAGCTCAATTCCCCACACCTCTTTACAGTTTAGAGTCTTTGAACAAATCACACTGGATCCTTAAATAGCTCTCAGTGGGATGGCTAATGAAGCAAAACGCTGAGCCCACGCACGCATGAGCTTCTGACATAGTAAGGTGACACACAAAGACATAAAAACAAGAACTATATATACACCACAGAACTTCACATCAAAGCTCAGAGTTCGGTGCTGCCCGCTACCAGCAGTCACATGCAACTGAGAAATAGCAAAAATGTGAAAGAACAATAAAATGTTGAAAATGCTTGTATTCAAGAAAAAGAAATTTTATAAACTCAGGACTTACCTGCTTGGAAAGCTGCTTCCATCATATCTGATAAATCCAATAAAAGCAAAATTTTATTTTTGGTGGCAGTGCTGGTGTAGGAAGTTCCCACCACACCCTACGGTAGCCCTATGCTGTCCCTCCCTCTCATGCCAATGGCTAACAGCTGTTTCTGCTGTCATTTTACAAGCTGGATTGGGGAACTGATCTGGGCTAAAAGAGCCTCTCTGCTCCCCAAGGCATTTCTTTATTTGGATCACTGCTATCAGACCGTGTGGCCCCACAGCAGCTGAAGGAGGACCGGGTGAGGGGCAGCAAAGGCAGGAAGGAGCTGGAACGCTCCTCACAGCCACCTCCTTGGCACTGGGAAGGCTTTGCCATCTTGTACCTTCCGTACAACTCACGTGCTTCCTTCCAGTCTTTCTCTCCCCCCTCTACCCTGTTCCTAATTTTCATAAAACCTGAAAAAAAAGATTTGTATTTTTAAGGCCTACACCTCCCTGTAGAACACGGCTGAACCCAGACAAGTGAGTGCAGCGTTAGAGGGGAGCTGACACATGCACAGAAAGACAACAGATTTGCACCTTGCTCCCTCAGGGAACCAGGCTAATAAAAAGCCCCACATTACAGTATCCATTTAAGTTACGAGGCGAAAACAAATCCTAAGAAGTCACTGCAATAATGATTCAGTCAAAGGCATGTGGATTACTACCTACGTGGCAGGATGCAAAACAAGGACTGGTGAGAAGGCAGGGGATGGCAGAGTCAAAACACCAGCTATTTAAATACTATCTATGGATTTGGCTTTCTGCTGGCACCGCCACGCCGCGCTGGGAGTCTGCCGCGGGAATCTCCCAGTGAAGAGGTGACAAAATTACGACCTTCTTGCCCATCTCAAGTTGCTTTCTAGACAGAATTTGAAGATCTTGTATTACGTTTTGAGAGAAATAAATAAATAAATCCAGAGGACCACTTAGCATTCAGTTTCTCCATGCATAACGTATTTTGACAAGTTTCTTCAGTTGTCACCTTTGCTCGGGGCACAGTTTAGCACTCTAAAAAGACTGAATGGTATTAAACAAAATAGAGAAGTTTGTATCTTGGGGGGATGTTAGCAACTTTCCAGTCTCTCTCATTTCCTTCTTCCATTCCACACTGATGCCATGTGGACACACATCTTAATTTAAAAAAATAGTTACCATGGTAAGGCTTTTCCCTGAAAAAAAAAAAATCACCAAGAACTGTGCATCAGCCAAAGACCCCACTGCAAAGCCATGCAGGGTTGTCTTTTATTTCTCAAGTTCTCAAGGGCCCTGCCAGTGTGAGAATGGCAAAGTGAGCACTTTTCTCCAACTGCCTCGTACTGCAGAGCACTGTTCTTCTGGAAAACTACTGCACACTTTTGGCTTGTGCTCTGGCACTACTGCATGACATTTCCTCCCTCATTCCCAGCCTGTGCTCTTCTCCGCTCTGGCATCTGAAGGTAGAATTAGAGGTATCTTATAACTGCCCATGATTTCTGGATGTGGTAACCTAGTTATTGAAGTGATATGTACCACATGCTTAGCTTGTGGCAATGAACCATTGCTATAGCTACCTTTGGAGTATCAAAGATTTCACCTTAAGCCCAGTAGTCCATAGAAATGTGGAGTATTTTGTTTTGGCTTTACTCACCTTAGCACCAGATTATAGTTCCACCCAGTGATTAATGAAAATGCATCTTTCACAGTAGTTCCTATATAGCTGCACACAGTATTATGAGAGTCATTTGAAAACTTTCATAACAAAGAATGATTGGACTGAAAAATATATGGAAATCTTGTTACCACATTTATATTTCTGAATTGTTTAAAATAAAGACAAATCATACCTAGTGTTTAATAATGTGCGCTAAGAGATTGTATTAGACATCTCATTCATGAGGTACTCGGTACTATTATGAATACTGCATCTGCTGTCTTCTGTAGCAGCAATATGAAAATTAAATGTTTACACATTATACACACAGACACAGCCATGTGACCGCATAGCGCTGGGAAGATTACCTACTGCTTCCCATTTATTCAGTTCAGGGTCGTATTTCTCAATACTCTGCAGATACGTTCCTTTCGAATAGGAATATCCTCCCGTTACATAGATGCATCTGTTCATAACCACCGCGCCACACTCCATCCTTCTCTCCATCATGTGAGCCATCTGCTTCCACTTGTTTTGCTCTGGGTCATAGCAGTCTGTGATCGTGGTCTGTCCACCCACAAAATAGATCTTGTTTTGTAATGTAATTGAACACAATCCATATTCTTCAGGAAGAAAGGAATACAGTTCAACTCAGCATGATAATATTAACTTAAACTGCAGCTACATGACAAACATTGGGCACCACTGAGGGCCACTGAGTTTCTACACTGAGCTTAGGACACCTCAGGATTCTTCTGCTACACTTAGTAAAAGCAAGCTCAAGGTGTTACAGACGATGCAGACATGAGCACCAGTACTTAGTGAGAATTGCTTTAAGAACTTACTGTTACCAAATGGAGAACATAGAGACAACCCTTTTAAAATTCATATAAATTATTTTTGCCAAATGCCTAAGGATAGATTTGGGTGCAAGTGTTGATCTGTTTGAGGGTAGGAAGGCTCTACATAGGGATCTGGACAGGCTGGACCCATGGGCCAAGGCCAACTGTATGAGGGTCAACAACGCCAAGTGCCAGGTCCTGCACTTCGGTCACAACCACCCCATGCAACACTGCAGGCTTGGGGAAGAGTGGCTGGAAAGCTGCCTGGCTGAAAAGGACCTGGGGGTGTTGGTCAACAGCCGGCTGAACATGAGCCAGCAGTGTGCCCAGGTGGCCAAGAAGGCCAACAGCATCCTGGCTTGTATCAGGAACAGTGTGGCCAGCAGGAGCAGGGAAGTGATCGTCCCCCTGTACTCGGCGCTGGTGAGGCCGCACCTGGAATACTGTGTCCAGTTTTGGGCCCCTTACTACAAGAAAGACATTGGGGTGCTGGAGTGTGTCCGCAGAAGGGCAACAAAACTGGTGAAGGGTCTGGACCACAAGTCTGATGAGGAGCAGCTGAGGGAACTGGGGTTGTTTAACCTGGAGGAGGCTGAGGGGAGACCTTATCGCTCTCTACGACTACCTGAAAGGAGGTTGTAGTGAGGGGGGTGTTGGTCTCTTCTCCCAAGTAGTTAGCGATAGGACCAGAGGAAATGGGCTCAAGTTGCACCAGTGGAGGTTTAGATTGGATACTAGGAACAATTTCTTCATCTAAAGGGTTGTCAAGCACTGGAACAGGCTGCCCAGGGAAGTGGCTGAGTCACCATCCCTGGAGGTTTTTAAAGACGCGTAGATGTGGCGCACAGGGACATGGTTTAGTGGTGGACTTGACAGTGCTGGGTTAACAGTTGGTCTTGATGGTCTTAAAGGTCTTTTCCAACCTAAATGATTCTACAATTCTATGATTTTATAGAAAGTTAGTTTACTATATTATTTAGCAGAATGCAGCCATTCCTTAGTTCAATATTTATATAGTGATTTCTATAGAACAGATGCTTGAAGAGGGTCTTCCTTCCCCTCTCAAGAGACTGGAAATGGGAGATGATCCCACTCTGGCCCTTGCTGCCCTAAAGGCATTGCATATTTAATTAAGAAACTCTTAAGTGGGCTTAAAGACTCCCAGATACAAGTAATCAAATCAAGTTCCATGCTCATTACAGAAATTATTGTTTACCTGGATGCGGACTTGTGGTGACTATACTCCACTCATTGCTACCTGAATGGTATCTCTGGATTTTATCATAGGTGCAGCTTCCCCTGTACCCATAGTGACCTCCGGTTACGTAGATGACTTCATGCAGGACACAGGCGGTGGCATTTCCAACACCTGTACACAGTGTGAAAGTCACAACACACCTTCAGACTGCACATGATAACCACAGTCACTTCCATCCATAATCCCATTACAAATGACTTGTTAATTAATATTTTAGGGTGAAATTATGCTTGCAAGTATTTAACTGAATATGAAATTAAATAAACTTGTCAAGGCACCTTATTTTATCAGCATAATTCAAGAGCAATTAAATAAAACTGCAGTAACCAATACATATTGCATATAATACAGCCACACAATATTTCACAAAATTTTTATACAGTAATTAAAGACACATTGCCACATCGGTTTTGGAATAGGGAATTACTTTCAATATTTCACTAAGTTAAATTTTTAAAAGTCGTTCATATGGCAAGGACAATGGGAGTTAAGATCATTCAGTCTCTCAAGGTACTTTTCTGATACTTTTAGTCTTTCTCATGGTATTATTAATGATGCTATTGTATAAACAAGGACACAAACAGAATGGAGACATGTTAACTCTGTCTCCAGGAGAAGAAAACAAAATAAAACAAGGGATCTGGCAAGATAAAATGGACCAAAATTAAGAAATCAGTGTGGGTTTTTTAAGCATCTAAGAAGTTTCACACAGAAAAAGGGACAAAACAACTGCACAGAATGTGTAACTGCTCAAGTATTAGTGAAGCATTTCTATTTTAAAAGGAAATAAAAAGAGAAGAGCAGCAATGTTTGTGGAAAATATATGAACAATGAAGAAAGTTGTAGGAGCATGATCAGTGTTTTTTCCTGTTACAGACACCTCCAAAAACTCTCGTGTACATAGAAAAATACTGTGTTGCATTAACATACAGTAAAAATTTAGAAGTAATTGTAAATAATTGCATTAATGTATAGAAATGTATGATAAAATTTTATAGCAAAATAATACCCTTTAGTTAGGCTGTGATCCAAATGCATACTTTTTAATAGATTATTATTTCGGCTGCTAGAAACAGGTATTAGTGCTTTTCATTATCCTCACACTAAACTAAGGATCCTGAACAGATGATACACTGAAATGTGAGGAAACTGCATGCAAGAAGTTTTAAATTAAGATGACACCTTTATAAATGACTGCACAGAAAATCTTAATAATCTGGTCTTAATTAAAATAATACAATCCCTTTATTGGAGCTTGCTCTTTGACCATCTACTGAATGGACTCTAATCCCAGGTATTTTTCTGATTTCTTTCTAATTTGAACATAAGTTTTACTCCTGAAAGAAGGCAAAATTAAACAGAAACTACCCCTTGCTTTTCGATCCTAGTGTTCTGTGGCACAGCCCAGCATAGTGTTTGGATGTTTGCAGTCGTTTGGCTAGTAAAGACCCGAACCAAAGCCCACCAACATTAACAGGAGATTCCGATGGACTTCAGTAGAACCTGGATCAAACCCTACACGTGTCCACGGCACTTAAAAGTGGCAAACGCAAAAGCATCAACATTTGAGGCAGACGCCGTACAAAAGCTTACCTACCTTTGATCATGTTTGCAATAGGAAGCCATTTCTTTTTTAAAGGATCATAGAACTCAGCTTCTTGCACCGGAGCTCCCTTTCGGTAACCACCCAAGGCGTAGATGCAGCCACTCAAGGAAACTGCGCAATGGTAATACCTTGCGTCAAGCATGGGGCAGCCTTCTGTCCATTCATCTCTCTCACTGTTATATATCCACACGGTGTCAAGGGCTTCGATGCTCTCTGTTCTATAACCTCCTGTCACGTATATGTCTGGTCCCAAGCTAGTGACCCCATAGCTCTCTCTGGTGTGATCCGGCATCTCTGTTCCCTGGACCCACGCGTTGGTTAAAGGATCCCAAACATGCACTTCTGATAAGGGATGCCAATAATATCCTCCAATCACATACATGGCTGCTGTGGGTCTTCTGGAAAGACCTTTGGGACTGAGGCTGAGGGCATTGTATATGAGTGACCTTATCTTATTGTCATTAAGTCGGCATTTTTTTTGTAGGCTTAAAGCTGACCTCAGATACCTGTTATCTAAGTCTACTTTGATGCAGCTCAGCAGTTCATAGACGTCTTCAATTCTTTCTTCTACATTGTGTGCAACCCACTTAACGACAGCTTCAATGGCTGCCTCTTCTTTCCAAACATTGAGATTCTCTCTGGAGAGAATGTAAGAGAGCTTCTCCTTGCCAATGTCCAGGAACTCTTCCTGCTTCCACACTTCTTCAAACTGCCACAACAATATCCTCCTGGACTCTTTTTCTAGCTCCGAGCAATCATGATATTCGGCAAAGGAGTGCATCCCTATGCAGTTGTCAGTGTCTAAGTGCCTCACCAGAAACTGCTCACAGGCTTTCTTTACTGACACGAACTGGAGGAGGTCTGCAGCCTGGAGTAGGCTTTGGACGTTTCTCTTTGTTATCTGGATCTGTGCTGTGTATGCATAATTCACGAGGGCTTCCAGTACGGCATGGCTGAGCCCGGGAAGTCTGATCTGGTTTTTAGATTTCTCTTTCATATCGGCTGTGAACATGGCTTTAAAGTAATTGCTGCAAGCCGCTAAGGCGGCTCTGTGGCAGTGGAAGATGACCCCCGACGCGCACTGCAGGGTGATGTCGGTGAACAGCCCGTCCAGGTAAAACGCCCGGAACGCCTCCAGGAACTCGGCGGGGTGAGCGGAGTCCTTGTACAGGTACGCGTAGTCCTCCTGCCCGGCCGCTGCCATCGCCCCCACCGCGCACAGAAGCGGGCAGCCGGGACGCGCCCAGCGGGGCCGCCGGCC